GTGTATGTTCAACGTCCCATATCGGATAAAATGTTTAGATATTGATTCAGAATCCTATTATAAATAAGATTAAAAAGAATCAAAATCCGAATGAACAAGAAGATCAACTTAATAAGCATCCAAATTTAAAATTATATACCGTTTCATTCGGTTTTATAGTTTAACTGTTTAATTTTACCGGAAATGTTAAATTTTAAACTTTTAAAAGGTTTTAAATAATATAATTTATATATTTAAAATCAATAAAAAATTTATAATATTATGAACATTTGAACATATATCTATACTAGTATAATTGCAGCCCTTTTTGTGACGGGTGGGTAAAAAATCTTATGGGTATATCGGATATCCGACCCGTTTTAAAAATTCCTTCACAAAAATAAACTTGGATCGGGTTAAATTAAACCCAACTCATACACCGGATATTCCATATTTAATAATTTAGATATTTAGAAGATTTGATTAAAATTTATAATTATGATTCTCCTATCATCTTTGTTTGATTTGTTTTTAACTGTTTTGAATCATCATATAATACATAAAGTAAAAAAAAAATCAATTTTTTTTCTGCATATACTGTGATTCGAAATTTAAAAAACGGACATATATTATCTAATTGACGAAAATGTGTGTTCAACGTTCTACATCGATTAAATTATTTAGACAATGATTCAGAATCGTATCATAAATAGGAACATTAATAAAATAAATGAGTTTTTTTGCCGGACGGGTTTGGCGGGACGGGTTTTTGAATCAACAATAATAAAAAGATTAAAATATCATTAATCCGCCGCTTCAATACGGATTAAATCCTTAATTTTTTTTAATACCACTAATATTAGACATATTAAATCAGTCTCATTTAGAAAAGATTGTATAAAACCAAAAATTGTCCCGTGGTATAATGTCCCGTGGTCTTAGAGGATGATATGATTTGTAAACTTTTATATATAATAAATAATCATTAACTTTTAAAATAAAAACAAATCACGGGATGGGTTAAAAAATTACGGAACAGGTTATATTTCGGAAAAGATTTATATGGCGGACGAATTTGAATCAATATTTATATACCGCTTTAATACGGGTTAAATCCTCCGTTTATTAATAATTGTCTCGTGGACTCGTGGTATACCGTTACTTAATAACAATTATAAACTATAATATAAATAAATATGTTATAAGGAGATACAATTTACAAAATATTTTTATACTAATTTTAAAATTAAATCATCCCGCGGTATACCGCGGGTTAAAATCTAGTAAAGAGTTACAAAAACACAAAACGGGTGATATTGGTAGACAAGGTTATATAACGGGACGAGTTTTTAAGAAGTTTTAAATATTATAATTTATATATTTAAAATCAATAAAAAAAATTATAATATAAGAACATTTGAACATATATAAAGAATTAAAATAACATGAGACGGTTATATTGAAGGATAGGGTTATATGACGGGACGAGTATGAATCAAAAAATTTTAAACATCATTAACCCGCTGCTTCAATACGGTTAAATCTTCATTTTATTACTTTTTTAACACTACCAATATTAGACATATCGAATGATCCTAATTAAAGTAAATTGTATAAAACAAAATTTGTATTGTGGTATACTATTATTTAATAACAATTTTAAACTATAAAATATAAATGTCTTATAAAATGATACAATTTGCAAAAAAATTTATATAAATCGTCTTGCGGTATACCGCGGGTTAAAATCTAGTTATTGTTTAGGATTTTTTTTTTTTTGAGAGTTTAATTATTGGGTAAGTCTCCTACACAAACAATAAACAAATTCAAGTTTGAAAAACACGATGATGAGGAACTGTACGATGATAATAAAGACCATGGTTATCATGATACCGAGTAACTGGATTAGAGAAAGGTGATACACGGCGTGTTTGAGGGTTTAGAGAGCAATTTAAAATGTATAGAAAATTAATGTTTCAAGAAAGAAACGATCGGAAGTGCTCGAAAAAACTGAATGGAAGGTTAGAAGTATGACCGAGAAGTGGTTGAAAAACTTGTGAGCCTAAATCTAGAGCGCAATGAAAGACAAAATGTTTTAAAAGTGCTCTAAGAAGTTAAAATGAAAAAGAAGCACACTCTAGTTACAAATAAGGTGGTAATTATAGAGTTTACCTACCTCGGAGTAGAAAACCGGGTCTCGCATTGGGATCCGGCTTGGATTCGGATTCTTTGGTTTAAACATGTACTAAGAACTCGAGTGCTTTTTACATGTCGTCTTTGTCTCATTTTCTAGCTTACCGACAAATCGATTTCTTCCGCAAATTACACATAATTGAACATATTGGTATTAGAGGAGTTTAAGATCTACTATGGAGATACACAATTGAAGTAAAGATAATCACCTCTCATAGTTGCTTTATAGATGCAAAAAATAGATGGAAGGAGAATGAAGTTGTTTTTTTTTTCTTTTTTTTGGGTATTGTGATGATCCACTTCAAGAACATATAAAAATCTGAAAAAATTGATCTCCGTCAGTTTTTACAGATCCATATTTCGACTAATAATAGACCTCAACGAGATTGTATTTACTCAGGAGAAAAAACGCGGTTGCTGTTGGCCAGAATCATCGCGAAGAACATTCCATGTTGTGCAAAACTTTTGTGGAATGGTAGACATCCTATTGAAAGAAACAAGTATGAATGTCGTGATAATGATTTAACTCGTTGTAGTCTGGACAAATTGTCATGGTAAGGTTTCATTGCTCTCTGGGTATTTTACCTTAACATGTCTTTTCGTTTTTTCTTGTCAACTCCACCTTGATATGTACAACTCCACATTAATCAGCTCATTTCAGTGAGATACTTGGCTTGCTTGTTCCACTAAAACTCTCTTCTCTCTACGACAAAATCCTTTCAATAAAGACATGGATCTTTAAGGGCAATAACCATAAGGCTCATCTTTTCTCCAATAGTACAAACCCTCCTCTTTCTCTCTTCCTTTAACTAGATCTATTTCTCTTTTGTTCTTAAATTGTGTACTAGAGATTGACCCGCGGTACACCGCGGGACGATATTTTATAACAAAAAATTGAAATTTTAAGTTGCATTTGTTTTGTTAATATTGTTTGTTTTATTTAGTGTTTAAGATTGTATAATTGTATTTTGATTGTTAATTCTACGATTTCACCCGTAGTATATCATTCCGTATTGATTCTTTAAATTAACGATGTATGACATTTATTTAATTAACGATGTACGATTAATTTTATGAAAGTAAATGAAAATTTATTAGTCTAGCTTTGTATTGATTTTGTGAATAAATAAATATTAAAATAAACACACACACAAAATTAGGATGGAGTTTTCGCGTTAGTCTTTTGTACTTTAGGAATATGCTATGATTTCGGTTTGAAGAATAGTAATTGTTTTCTTTATAATCGATTATTTGAATATTTGAAGCCCTAGAATTATAGTAAATTGTAAATGAAATCTAATAAAATCATAACAAAATTACATCTTAGGTAAGGAAACAACAATATTTAGTATTAGTTCATTGGATTAGTTATAATTGAAAACATAAAATCGAGAATATACAATCATAGGATCGAGTTTTCCTTCTCTTCCATTGTTGTCAAGTCTTTTCCATACTTCTCTAATGCCTCATACTTGCCTTCTGGATATGTCAAACATGATCATTAACTCTCTCTCAAACGTGGTTACTAACCTTGTTCAATGACTAATTGTTTTTCCTCTAATGGATTCAATTGCGGATTTCAAGCTCTTCTCTAATATCTGAAAATCCTTAAACAACTGTTTTCCAACAACTGGTGACGAAACTATCAATTGCCACACCATTTCTGTGAATTATTGCTGTGTAAGTTATACAAACATCAAACCCAAATTAGCAATCTAGTACACCAACAATCCTTCAAGTCTCACTTCCAGATTTATGAAACCAATGATTACTTAAAATTGCAGAACAAATAAAACCTAGTGTTTCAGACTTTACCCTTCCATTAAAAGAAGCTTCAAATCGGTGGATGCTCAAGCCGCCGTGTGACCCTCGCGCTCTGCTTCAATTCAGAGCTTTGAAGGAATTAAGCTTCGCTGGAAATGTCACATAAGGTAGAAGATGAGAAAACGAAGTAATCCTTTGAGTCCCCGTTCCCACGCTGACTACCACTAAACGCCAATGTAGTGGTCGTTGTAGCCGTCGCCATTAGCTCAGAAATTTTAAACAACAGACAATTGAAAAAGAAGATAAAATACAACATGTAGTTTAGCAGAAATTTGCACACTGAACACTCTACTAAGAGAACTCTCTTGAACTAAATGAAGAAAGTGATTTTAAGTTTGGTGTTTACCGAATATCCAAACGCACACCTCAAGTTTGTGAAAATCCTAGTCAATTTCACATATAACCTGTCACAAACAGAAAAATTAAAGCTTGGTTATAAAGAAAACTCTGAAAACAGTGTTAGTCTATCCAAAAATTTCATATAGACCTGCCACTTCTGACATAACATTCATTGCATGCCATAAAACTTACGGGCAATTCAGAGGAGAGCATTATGTCCATTGTAAGACTTTGTTCAAGTTCATCTTCCTTGAGTGGTTGGTAGAAATCTGCAAAGCAAAAGAAAAAAAAAAGATTAGATTTTGTCATGGCAAGGAACATAGATAATTAGAAGTAAAGATGTCCAATCCACAATTGAACCCATATAACATCGTAGCTTCCACGATCTAGAATAAACTCTTACGATCATATAACATTCACAAAGCAAAGTTTAAAAATGATTGAATAAAAAAAAATCACAATCAAATGAAAACGAAGACAAAGATTGAGAAGGTGATTCACAATAAATCAAGCAAGAAAGAAGCTCCCAGGCCCGGTTCCCTAGGTGCTAAAAGAAGCTCCTTTGGTTTGAAAAAGCAGATCTCACCTGCTTTTTCTTTCTAATTTCGGCAATTTTCTTGCTTGTTCCCTCCTTTCCGACCAACTCTCAACCGGTTCTTTACTCCGACGGCGCCCCTTTAAGTTGACCAGTGCCCTATCCGTCGAAGAATCTTAGTTGGGAAGTGAAACAGAGTAAGTCGCGTTGGTCTTCACCCCTGTCCCCTTTGTTTTGTGCTGAAATGAAGGTTACCAAGCCTATGTGTTGGGGTACTTTGTCTTCCCTTTGGAAGATGAAGTCTTGCTCTTAAAGTGGTTAGACTTGGTCGTGGGGCCTTAGTGCTCACCTTACTGCGTCGCTGCAGTTTTTTTGGCAGGATAAGCTCCTGTTTTGCTAGGCTTCTTTCCCTGACTTAGGGTTTTTTCCTCAGGTTGAGGAGGTTTCTTACAGAAAGTTTCAAGTTTTCAGCATCATGTCTCATAGGCTTTCTAGAGATGAGAAGGAGAACTGGATGGGAAGTTCCCATAAACAGAAACGCCGCTCGCCCCTCAGGATCCCAGCTAGCGATAACTCTGCTTTGATAGCTGAGAACAAACTTACTCTCATCGGTAGAATCACAAATCCCTCGGTGCAACGTCCTAGAGCTCTTGTGGACTATATGATACAGTTCTGGGGTTTAGAGAGCAGAGTAACTGGAAGAGAGCTGGGGCCGGAAAGATTTTATTTCCGTTTTGAAGCTGAAGCTGATCTGCAACTAGTTCTAAAGAGAGCTCCTTACCATTTTAAAAAATGGATGTTTATTCTCCAACGGTGGGAACCAGTCGTCTCTGAGCGTTTCCCAGCTTTCATTCCTTTCTGGATCAAGATTCATGACATCCCTCTGCATCACTGTACGGAACAGACTCTGAAAACAATTGGTAAAGCTTTGGGTCCTCTAGTTGACAAAGATCTGTCGGAAGGAAGAATAAGAGTCAACATTAATGGTCTTGCCCCTCTGGAGATGAAAATGCAAATCCGGCTGCCAACAGGAGAGGTTACAACAGTGCAACTGGAATATGAAAGATTGGAAAAGCACTGTTTCAAATGTTTCTCACTTTCCCATGAAGAAAGATCTTGCCCTCTGGTGAGTGCTGCTAAAGATGGTGATGGTAGATCCTTGGGTTTGAACCAGAACAGAACTCTCCAAAATCTTGAAGATGACAAGAGGCGTCAAGACTCTAGAAGGAGCTACAGGCAGCCTCCTCGAAGTGATGTCAGCAGGGACAGAGGAGAGCATTCTAGTTATCCCCAGCGTGGGCATCATAGACACTATTCCTCTTCTTCTTACCAGCGTGGAAAGAGTCATAGGAGCTCAGGATTTCGTGGAGAAGTCAGAAGTGGAGGTCGTTCTGCTACCCTGCGTTCCCCTCTGCGGGCTCCCAGTCAGACTGAGAACAACTCTGTGTATAGGAATCGTCCCATACATCGCAGTTCTTCCAATAGGGAGGAGTACTCCGCTCAACTGAATGCTTTGTCTGGAGGGAGTCATCGCAGACAGCCCTCTCATTTACCCTCTAATAGGGATCGTGTGGAAGAAACTCCAGCAGCTTCAAAAGTTAGGTCTCTGCCTGATCAAAGCGGTCAATCTCCCTTGATACAAGAGACAGAGCAGGTGGTAATTAGGGCATCTACAAGAGAAAAAGCTGCGGTGGTTAGCTCTTCCAAAGCTAGGAGACCGGCCTTGGAAAGAATTCCTCAGGTTGCTACGTCCCCGGTTCAGTCTCACCAGCTGGTTACTTCCTCAAACTCTGACCGGCTTTAAGACGTGGCAATCCAGTATTTAGGTGAGCCTTCCCAACAAGCTATGTGTAGGGGTGAACTTTTAGTAGGAGATTGCTCAAAGTTTGGTCTGCCTTCACCACCCCCAGTTCCACAAGATGTGGAGGTTAGAATTCCGGCTTCACTCCGGTTGGGTTCCCCAATTGAATCAGTAACTATTACTCTTCCTAGCAAGATGCCAGCAACTAAAGCCACAAGGAAAAGGAAGGTGCCTGCAGCCAAACCAGTTAAACCAGTTATTCGATCATCAACTAATACTAGAGGCACTCGTAGCCCTCTCAAAGGAACAAGCCTCAGGAAACAAGCTGTAACAGGAACAAAAATATCTTCTCGGAAAAAGCTAAGAGTTGATAGTCTACCTGAGACTCAGGCTGGTCCCTCCTCAGCTACACTTCCTGATCCTCTTCTCCCAAGTTTAATCCCTGCGACTTGCAAATCTCAGGTGGATTTTCACAGTCCACCAGACCCTCTTCCTTAGTCATCACGTCATGGAACTGTCAAGGGATGGGAAGCACCCTTACAGTTCGACGTCTAAGGGAACTACGTCTTAGTATTTTCCCTGACATTTTGTTTCTCATGGAGACCAAAAATCAAGATGAGTATGTCACTAACGAGTTCCAAAAAATGGATTATGATAATATCTTTACTATTCCTCCACAAGGTCTAAGTGGAGGATTAGCCCTGTTCTGGAAAAAGGAAGTGGAAGTAGAGATTCTGGAGTCTGCTGTAAACTTCATTGATGCTAAAATCACTTTCAAGAAGATCTCTTCTTATGTGACCTTTATCTATGGAGCTCCTCAGATCGAAAATAGATCATCTTTTTGGGACAGAATCTCAGCCTTGGGAGCCCTTAGATCCTCTGCATGGCTTCTTACAGGCGACTTCAACGATATCCTAGATAATTCAGAAAAGAAGGGTGGACCTCTTAGGTGGGAAGGCTCCTTTATTGCTTTCAGAAGCTTTGTGTCTCAGAATGGCCTTTGGGACATAAAGCATTCTGGGAATCCTCTTTCATGGCGCGGTACCCGGTACTCTCACTTCATCAAATCTAGATTGGACCGTTCCATGTCAAATTGTGCATGGGCAGAGGATTTCCCCACAAGTCGATGCGTCTATCTGCGTTTTGAGGGTTCGGATCACCGTCCTTTGGTGACGTATTTTGGTGCGGCTTCAAAGAAAAAGAAAAGACCCTTCAGGTTTGATAGAAGGCTGAGAGAAAAGCAGGAAATTCGGGATCTAGATAAGGAAACTTGGGAGTTAGCCAGGAATAACTCTGTTCTGCATAAGATCAGTAGTTGTCGTCAAAACATCATTCAGTGGACCAAGGAGCAGAATGCAAATAGTTCACGTAAAATTTCTATCACTCAACAGAAACTTGAAGCTGCCCTCTCCTCTGATTTACCGGATTCTGCTCTCATTGGTGCTCTCACTTTAGAGCTGGAAGACGCGTATACTCAAGAGGAGATGTTCTGGAAACAACGAAGTAGAGTACTCTGGCTGCATAGCGGCGACCGAAATACCGGCTATTTTCATGCAATAACAAGAAGTAGAAGAACCATGAATCGCCTATCAGTTATTGAGGATAGCCAAGGGCAAGAATTTCATGAGGAAGACCAGATTGCGAGTACAATCTCGGATTACTTTAAAGAGATCTTTACCACGAATAATAATGTGGACCTTAATGTGGTGGAAGAGGCCATCTCTCCCTCTATTTCAGCTCAATGTAATGCAGCTCTCATCAGTGTGTCGTCGACTCAAGAAATAAAGGAGGCTCTGTTTTCTATTGATGGAGACAAGGCTCCGGGACCCGATGGTTTCTCGGCTGCCTTCTATCATGCGTATTGGGATATAATAGGAGAAGATGTTTCCCGGGATATCCGGTTGTTTTTTGAAACTAGCTACCTTTCACCTCGCCAGAATGAGACACACGTCACCCTTATACCAAAGATTACAGCTCCAAGGAAGGTCTCCGACTATAGGCCGATAGCCCTTTGTAATGTCCATTACAAGATTATCGCAAAGATCCTTACTAGAAGATTACAACCTTGGCTGTCGGAGCTAATATCTAAACATCAAACGGTTTTTGTCCCGGGGAGAGCTATTGCGGACAACGTCCTAATAACTCATGAGATTCTACACTTCCTTAGGATCTCGGGCGCTAAAAAACATTGTTCCATGGCGATAAAAACGGACATGAGTAAGGCCTACGATCGGATCGAATGGAGTTTCCTTAAGGCGGTTTTAGAGAGATTAGGATTCCATGAGAGGTGGATATCATGGATCATGGAATGTGTGACCTCCGTCTCATACTCTTTCCTTATTAATGGATCACCGCAAGGAAATGTGTTACCTTCGAGGGGCTTAAGGCAAGGCGACCCCCTCTCGCCGTATTTATTCATCCTTTGCACGGAAGTTTTATCGGGATTATGCAAAAGAGCACAGGAAAAAGGAGTGCTAGTTGGGATCCGAGTCGCAAGGGGAAGCCCACAAGTTAATCACCTCTTATTTGCGGATGATACCATGTTTTTTTGCAAAACAAACCCAACGTGTTGTGCAGCCCTCTCTTCCATCCTTTCCCGATATGAGCAAGCCTCGGGGCAGTGTATTAACTCCAATAAGTCAGCGATTACCTTCTCATCAAAGACTCCTCAAGCTATTAAAGTAAGAGTGAAACAAACCCTTCGCATTGAAAAAGAAGGTGGCATTGGCAAGTACTTGGGACTCCCGGAACACTTTGGTAGGAAAAAAAGAGATATCTTCTCATCAATTGTGGATCGTATTCGCCAACGCTCTCATAGTTGGGCCACTAAATTCTTGTCGGGAGCTGGGAAGCAAATTCTGCTGAAATCTGTCTTAGCGTCTATGCCGACGTATGCGATGACCTGTTTTAAGCTTCCTCTTTCTTTGTGCAAACAAATTCAGTCTCTTCTTACTCGCATCTGGTGGGATTCAAAACCGGATAAAAGAAAGATGGCTTGGATCTCCTGGGATAATCTGACCCTTCCAAAGATTGCAGGCGGGCTAGGCTTTAGAGAGATTGAGAACTTCAACGATTCCTTGTTGGCAAAGCTAAGCTGGAGAATCATCCAAGAACCAGAGTCACTACTCTCCCAAGTACTGCTCGGGAAATACTGTCACTCCTCTTCATTCATGGACTGCAGCGCTCCATCTTCAGCGTCTCACGGATGGAGAGGGATCCTAGCTGGGAGAGAAATCTTGCGTAAGGGAGTAGGCTGGGCGATTGGTAATGGCGCGAAGATCAAGGTATGGTCTGATCCTTGGCTTTCTTCGGTGTCACCTCTTTGTCCTTTTGGCCCTCCACATGAAGATAATAAAGATCTGGTGGTGCGTGATCTGTTGTTACCCGGCTCCATCGGGTGGGATGTTACTGCTTTGAGGCAGCACTTACCTCAGTATGAGGATGTAATAAGGAAAATTCCCATTGGCTCTTCCCCTCTAGAAGACATTATGGTTTGGTTACCTGACAAATCAGGTTGTTACACAACAAAAACAGGGTATGCACTTGCAAAACTCAATTCTACCCCTGTAAAGCATCGTTCCTTCAACTGGCAGAAGAATGTTTGGAAGGTGAAGACTGTCCCTAAAATTAAGCATTTCCTTTGGAAGGCCATGAACAATGCCCTGCCTTTAGGGGAATGTTTAGCCCGCAGAGGATTAACAGAGGATACTAAGTGTAAGAGATGTGGTAACCCGGAAAACCCACTCCACTTATTATTACTCTGTCCTTTTGCAGCGAAAGTGTGGGAACTGGCACCGGTTCTTTTCAAACCGATTGGTCATATTCACTCCTCTTTGGAGCTTCTACTTGGTAGTACAAATAGAATGCTCCCTCTCCCTCCAACCGGCCTCTCCTCTGCCCCGTTATTCCCCTGGATCTTTTGGCACTTGTGGAAAGCAAGAAACCTAGTGGTTTTTGAAGATAGAACAATCTCCGAGGAAGAAGTCCTTCTAAGGGCGATCACTGATGCTCGTAGCTGGATGGATGCTCAAGCCCTCCTCCCGCAGCCACAAATGAGATCCCAAAGCCCAGCTGTTCCGCCCATATTTCCGGAGGCTTTCACGTGTTTTGTGGATGCTGCTTGGTCTGATAAGGGTTTTTGTGGACAGGGGTGGTATTTTCAGGACACTAACAAGGTGATGTTGTTTCAGAAAAAAGCTTCTTGTAGCTTTGTTGGTTCTGCTCTATTTGCAGAGACACTGGCTTTGCAATCAGCCTTGGTGGATGCGAAATCTGCAGGTTTGCAACAGCTTATCGTCTTCTCCGACTGTAAAGTGTTAATCTCCCTTCTCAATTCTGGAAACAGTATCGTTGAACTTCGAGGACTGCTCCAAGATATTAGAGAGCTGAGTGTTTCCTTTACTCTTATCCGTTTCTTCTTTATTTCTCGTTCTAGCAATGTATTGGCTGACTCCTTAGCAAAAGCAGCCTTAGCTGATGTAATCTCTTCACCCCCGAGTGGTGATTAAGACTCTGTTTTCATTTATATAATGATAGTTTGCCCAAAAAAAAAAAAAAAAATCAAGCAAGAAAAACTTATTTATAGGAGATTGTAGATGTTTATGGTTAGGTTTGATTGTAAAGCGAGAAAATCTTGGTGATCAAGTTTAAAATCCCAAAAATCTTGAAATTTGAAATTATTGCTAACTATCATAATTTACTCCATAAATTGTATTAGGCATATTCTTTAAATATGGTAAAAAAAATAATTGTAAACGAAAGAAGAGGTTAAGAATATGCCATTTGTTAGATGAATTGTTGTAATTAGTTTCCATTTCTCTTTAAAATCGTGATTATAGCTATCATTAGTAGAGAAGGAATAATCATTGTTGAGATTTTTGGAAAGATTGCGTAGATATTTTTTTTTTGGTGAGTAAATTGGTACATATATTGTTTAGCAAATCTGTAGAGAATATACTTTTAATTATTCAACCAATTATGATTTGCATAAACTATTTATTGTTAGCATTAAATCTTATTCGATTTCTTAAGATAAAAAATGTATAAAATTCAGTTAGTTGTTTAGCGAAGTAATTATGGAAGATCCGATCGAGATATTCTTAAGATATCGAATTGAATATCGTCGGCCATAATGAGAAGAAATATAAATGGTTAAATTAAGATTTAATCATGATTAGTTAGTTTTAGTAGTTTCCATTTAGTAGATATTCTCGATATTATTGTTAATAGCATTTAAAATTGAATATTTGATTTCCATATCTTTGAATATCAAATCTCGTTATCGCAATATTAGGAAATTTTGTGAGTTAATTTATTGTTTTGTAAAATTTGCTTAAGACAATATTTGTGTCTGATTTTTTTGTAGGGACTAAATGTACAATTACAAAATTGTAAAAGGATTTTTGAGGCCAAATCTTCACCAAAAATGTATATATAGATAAGATTATTTCGCTAACTAGTAAATCTGGAAGAATAAAAACCATCCACAACATGGGCTTTACTTAAACAAAAGCCCAATAACTTGTGTTTAAAATCCACATGATACAAAAGCAAAAGATATAAAAAATTTAACAAAATCTCATATGATAAACTTGAAAATATTTCCTATTAACACTATACAATATTTAAACTTTCTACAAATTAGAGATTCTTTTCTTATTTTGTTTCTCATATAAAAAATATAGGATTACCAATAATATTCAATGTCACAAACAAAGAATAAGAATACAAGAATACAAAAAAAATCTACTCATTCCTCTAATCCTCTTATTGGTAACCTTTTTGACAAAAAACCCAAAAAGGCAAAAACTAATATACCCACGTCTAACAAATTCTTCTATTTTCCGATGAGCGTACATAACACGCGTCCCCAGATGCTGAACCCGACTTGTGATTCTTCAATCTCAACCGTTAGATCTCCCAATCCGGCATCGAATTCCTCCGCGTAAGGCTTGGTCCATTTTGTATTATTCTTTTTTTGTTTGACAATTTTAGAGTATTACTATTATTATTCCATTTAAATTAAAATATAAAGAAAAATGCATTAAAAAAAGAAGTAAGATTCTCTCCGCCTCCTTCTTTATAAGAACCGACACAGAGACGAAGAAGAAATCAAATCACTCATCAAATCAAAAATCAAACACAGAGAAGAAACAAAAATGGCCTCAGAAGGAGAAGTTATCGCTTGCCACACCGTCGAAGAATGGACCGAGAAGCTCAAAGCCGCCAACGAATCCAAGAAACTGGTAAAACTCTCGATTTCGAAATTCAGGATTTAGGGTTTCGATTGATTTCTCTGCTTTATCGTTTCTGGTTTTGGGTATTTTAGATTAGTTAGCTATCGATTCTGATTTGGTTATGACTGATTCAGAATTAGTTTTGAATTTTTGACTTCCTTAATGTGAAATTTATGAACCCTAATAGTTCGATTGGAATGTTTAGAAACTAAGAAGTTTGAAACCGTAAGAACTTAATAGAAATTAGGAACAAATGGTACCAAATCATGCGAATTTCATAGTTAAATGACATGTTATGTGAATTTCTCAACTATGAAAATTCAGTTTGATGCTTCATCTGCTAGAGATCACTTGAAAATCGCCTTTTATTTTTCACATTTGTTATCGTAGTTTTACGTATTTGTATCTATGATCAATCGATATAGTTCGATTGAAAGTCTAGAAACTCGATAGAAATTTCGAATTTTGTTGGTTAAGTAGGAGAGAATGGTACCAATTTCCAAAAGTAATGTGAAGTTATCGCTCGTTATCGTAATAAACCATTAGTCGATCGGTGTTTGTATTTATCTATCGATATATAGCTCCCCTTCATTTTCTAAAGTTTAGTTGTGTGAAATGACACAGATTGTGATCGACTTCACTGCGACATGGTGCCCACCTTGCCGTTTCATTGCACCAATTTTTGCTGAGTTGGCCAAGAAGCACCTAGACGTGGTGTTCTTCAAGGTTGATGTAGACGAATTGAACGTGAGTTTCCATCATCTATCATACAATATTCAAATATCCAAACTTGGTACTATAGTAACCTCTGAGCCTTTAACTTACTTGTTATGTTGTTGTGCAGACTGTTGCTAAGGAATTTGACGTTCAGGCAATGCCAACGTTTATCTTCATGAAAGAAGGAGAGGTCAAGGATACCGTGGTTGGAGCTGCGAAAGATGAAATCCTTGCCAAGCTCCAGAAGCACACTAGCGTTGCTGCTGCTTGATTCGCTTTCTCTCTTCCTATGTTGCTAAAACGTTTGGTGTTTTAATAAATCCTTGTTCACCAGAGTCTTTCACCTTGATTGTGCTCTATGTGTGGTGAATAAATGTTGCAAACTCGATAAGTCGCAGCTATGCTAATTGTTCGTTCATGTTACTATTACTTTTGAGATTGTGTTGTTATGTCAGAATTTAGTTCTCTGTTTACATCGTTTTCATTTTGTCAGAATTCTCTACAACTCAAAACTTTAGCAGTCGTAATCCTGATTTTCTGATGCATGCTTTAGATCACCTCAAGGAGACCTCCCGTTCTTGAGAAATCAAATCACTCAAAAACTCATCAAATCAAAAATCAAACACAGAAGAAACAAAAAGGGCTGCAGGATTTAAGGTTTTCAATGTGTCTGTGCCTATCGTTTCTGGTTTTGGGGATTTTGATTAGTCTTCTGATTTGGACATTACGGAATCAGAATTAGCTTTGAACCCGAATCGAATTTTTGAGTTCCTTAGTGTGAAATTTACGAATCCTAATAGTTCTATTGAATGTTTAGAAACTCAGAAATTGAAACCCTAAGAACTAAATGGAAATTTTTAGGGTGCACATGGTTGACATAAACGAAGAAGTTGAAGGAGTTGAATGGACATTCATCTCACTTTTTACCATTTGAGATAAAAGAGTTGAAAAAATGATTCAACCCATTCAACTTAAAAAACTGAAAAATTGAACAAATTATACTGCAAAAGTCTTCAACTCATTCAACTACATTTTTGCAGATGAACGGGTTGAATGATATTCAACTCAATTTTTTCCAACTTAATATTTTCCAACTATTCATCTTGAGACAACCATTTGCAGCCTTAGTTGATAAAAGCAGGAACTAATAGTACCAAATCATAGATAATGTGACATGTTATGTGAATTTCTCAACTATGCAAATTCAGTTTGATGCTTCATCTGCTATGAAAATCGCCTTCGGTTTGATAGAAATTGCGATGTTTTTGATTAAGTAGGAGTGTAAATTTCATGGGAAAAAATGTCACATGAAATGCATACATTTGTTATCTTATTGATGAATCCATATGTTGAAAGGCCTTTCTTTGTACATGATCTGCATCAAAGTCATCAATCAACGTCTCACAATCTAATTCTTCTAAGAAGTTGTTTTCGATCGCCATTAAAGCTAGTCCATTCAACCTCTTTTGTGACATAGATACTCTTAAATATGACTTCAACAACTTAATTTTGAGAAACTTCGTTCTGCAGAAGCTAACTGTAATTGGAATAGTTAGTAAAATTCTTAATGCAATTGTAGTATATGGAAAACGAGAAATCTTTTGGGGAGTCCTCTTTTGAGAAACACTAACCCCCATATCTCCCCGTTTAAAACATACATTCTTTTTAATTTAAATTTAATTCGAAAACAGTGGATTTTACTACTATACCCCAACTGAAATCCAAGTATTACAGCCAAACTCCTGATCTATTCGAACCCGCACTTGACCCATCTCGACCCAACCGATAACCCGAATTCATTTGTTTGAAAAGAGAAATCAAATCTCGATTGCGTTTTTATCTCTTTTTTGAAATCAAAACCCTAAAATTTCTTTCGTCTAGTAATGGTACTCTTTTTAATTTCAATGTTATTATCTTCGAAATCAATGAAATCAATTTCAATCTTTGTGTCTCGATTTTGTCAGATATCGCCTAGGTTCTTAGATTTTCTCGTTTCATTAGATTATAATCAAAACATTTAATTTCTCTGTCAATTATCTAATGTTAACTAATGTGTGGACTAAATTTGTTTAATTAACAATAAATTGAAGAATAAATTTAAGCACACAATAGGTTAAAAACCAATGTGTTAATTGCAAATACTTGAATAATTTTATGAACATTCCCCCTTCCCCGCGCGTCTAACAAATTCTTCTAATTTTCAATGAGCGTACATAACACGCGTCCCCTAAAGCTGAATCGGATTTGTGATTTTTCAATCTCAACCGTTAGATCTCCAAATCCGGCATCGAATTCCTCCGCGTGTGGTTTGGTCTGACAAGATAATTCTCCCAACACACACGTTAGGTTTGGTCTGAAACAGTGATGACAAGATAATTCTCACAACACACGTCAACAACAACAACAACACGTGATAACAACATTTATTATTATTATTCCATTTAAATTATCTCCGCCTCCTTCTTGATAAGAACCGACACAAAGACGAAGAAGAACTCACTCAAATTTATAAAACACAGAGAAGAAACAAAAATGGCCGCAGAAGGAGAAGTTATCGCTGTCCACAGCGTCGCAGAATGGACCGAGAAGCTCAAAGCCGCCAACGAATCCAAGAAACTGGTAAAACTCTCGGTTTCGTTTTATCTATTGAAATGCATACATTTGTATATATTATCGATCGATGTAAATTTTGGTTGTGTGGAATGACACAGATTGTGATAGACTTCACTGCAAGGTGGTGCCCACCTTGCCGTACCTTTGCACCCATCTTCGATGAGTTGGCCAAGAAGAACCTTGACGTAGTGTTCATCAAGGTCGATGTAGACGAAGACGACTTGAACGTGAGTTTCCATCATCTATCATACACTATCCCAATATCCAAACTTAGTAGTAGTACTAGTAACCTCTGACCCATTTTTAACTTACTCGTTATGTTGTTGTGCAGACTGTTGCTGAGGAGTTTAAAGTTCAGGCAATGCCAACGATTATTTTCATGAAAGAAGGAGAGGTCAAGGATACCGTGGTTGGTGATAAGAGAGGTGAAATCATTGCCAAGATCGAGAAGTACAAGACCGTTGCTGCAGCTTGATTCGCTTCCTCTCTACCTATTTTGTTAATATGTTTAGTGTTTTAATAAATCCTTGTTAGCCGGAGTCTTTCACCTTAAATGTGCTCTATGTGTGGTGAATAAATATATACTTAAATATATACTTGTATATTTCATACAAAAGGATATATATTTTTAAAACAACAATAATTAACTTATGGGATTTATTTGTCCAGAAAAAAAAACTTGTGACAGTCTAGTATTACAACTCCAAAATTTATTTATTAAAAATTTGTATTACTTGTATGTTTTTCTTTGGACTGTTTACTAAAAACTATTGTAGGGCCATTAGTTTATGGATGGGTCTTTACAAAAGAATGTACCTACAAGTTGTGACAGTCTAGTATTACAACTCCGAGGTGGAATGATTGAATTACTTGGTTTAAAACCGAAAATAACCACGGCATGTTTGGTCTCGGGGACCGTATGGAGTATGGACCATGTCTAGTCTCAAAAAAAAAGAACCGGTAATGTTCCATTTGTGACGGATTCTATGGTTACAAATTTGTAATTGAATTACAGGAGCGGAGCTTCGATTATCATTATTAGAGTTTAATCTCACTCATGAACTTCGTGGACGAGGAAGGATAACAAGAAAAATTCTTAGTAAGAAAAGCTCAAGATTGATACAACAAATGTACTATAATCCGAGGATGAAATGCGTTTATGGCGGATGGTGGAAGAAGAAAAGAGTTTGAAGCATGTATCTTCCCCGGTAACACATTCTTAAGGCGGCTAATATTGAAGCTATTTTAAAAGAAGGAAAAATTGGCCAACGATTGAGACTCAAATCCGTCTCCTTTACCAACTTGAGTTGGCATCCCCATCTCATACTTGAATATGATGAACATACATTTGCCAAATACAATTTTTTTTTTGCCTAAAATCTCCACAGACTTCAGAAAGGACAAAAGCTCAAGGTGTGTTAATTCAGACACTGAAACATTTCAGATGTCTTTTATACATAAATGATCCATACAAAAGGAAAAAAGGGAAATAAAAGTGGAGGCCATGAGGAATTTCAATTAGTATTATCAGTCTGGGGAAATTATATAAACCTCTTAGTCTGTGTTTTATAATTGAAAGGAGACATCTTTAGGTCACCCTTTTATACCTTGTCGTCGTGGAACCACCACCTTGTCTCTTTAGGAGACCTCCCGTTCTTGCAGTTCTTCACATATCGATCATTATCAGTCGGGCGTTGCTGAGATAGATATCGAAAATAAGACATAGTAAGAGTTGTGTTGCTGGGTTAAAGGGTGTTCACTTTCTGATAATACACAGTGTGTGAGTTTAAAACGTGGAAAAACCTTTTCGGGTGAACTCGACAGCATCGAGAGAATGCTGATGCACACTGAACTCACTGTCATTGCTGGAGACCATGAGTCATACAGAATATCTGCGAAAAGGAATTAGAGAGTGTTATATTTACACGCATAATCTTATTAGACTTTCTTCTAAAATGAGGGGTAATTGTTCAGGTTCCACCACAATTTCATTAGACCTGATTTAGGTGCATTGAGGACAGATTTAAAAAAATTGTAATAAAACTTTCAAGTTCTTATTGTTTTGTGAAAACAGCAAACATAAAATGAATATGGATTCAACGAAGAAAAAAGAAATTTCAATTAATGTACAAAAGATAGGTCAATATAACTAGCAATTCAGAGGCTGTTATAATCATGGAAGAGATTCTGATTTTGCTAAGGAATTCACCATACAGTCCAAAAGGAACGGTATCGGTTTTCTTTATGACGTTGAAAACACATTCACACCCTAGTTTCATGTTATACGACACTGGTATTAGGAACTCTTTAAGCATGAGACAGACCGATAACAATGTTGATATAATGTTTTAGGACTCTTGAGGCATAACTAATATTGCTTCTCTTTTCGCTACATTACAGTCTATGAACAACCTATATATGTAATCATCAAACTGATTTCCTCGTCTTGCAGATAAACTATTTTGATTGACTTATGCATCTTATAGGACTAATCAGACAAAAACAGATTCTCTACACACACACACATGACTTGAGTTAGCATTTCAGAGAAACCAAAAGTAAGAGCATATGCAGAGAGTAAAATCCAAAAACCACAAGTAAGTGAAAATGTTAAATTACCTAAACAAATATGTCCATTGCTGTAAATATGAGGATGTAGTGGTGCTGGTGGAACAAAAATCACCTGATCAAACAACAAACACATAAAAATCAGAACAAAACACAAAACCAAGTCGAAACTCTAAAACTAAAATCTCTGACCTAAAACATGCAAAACAAAAAACAAACCATTAAAACACTCTGGTTTCAGTTAATTAAGCCACAATCAAGAAATTTGGACAAAAACCCTTAATCAAAATCAACATTTTCAGACAAATAACAACACAAAAAATTCAATCAAAATTCCCAAAAACCAAACTTGCCTGAGGAGCTTCCATAGGGTAATGTTGAGGAAACTCAACCTGAAGATTATAAGTTTCATTAGCGTAAAGCGTACCAGGTGCTCCCGTTACCTCAATTACCCATCTTTAAATCACAAAAAAAAAACAATCAAAAATCTCAAAAAATAATAATAAAAAAAACGAAAGATTTAGAAATCAAAATTACTTTTGAAGATTATCAGTAACTCTGTGCTTAAACCCAGTCGGTGGATTTACTTGCCACTCTGATAACTCCTTTTGTAACCTATTACACGCGATCTTGCTTAACGCCTACACAAATCTCAAAATCAATAAATCGGAGAATCAAATACACAAAAGAGACAAGAGTGTTGGAGAATCTAAGAACCTTGCGTGAAGGAGATGAAGAGCTTGTCATGGCGGAGACAAAGAGAAAGACGAAGACAGATAGGTCTTTAAGCTTTGGTCTGGATCTTTCTTCTTCTACTCGACGAATATTATTATTATTGAAAATGATATCAAAAAAGTTAACAAAAAAAAGGAAATAAAAATATTTTTCGGGGTGAGGAAAGGGCACACGTGAAAGAGTCAAAATTACAATAATAACCATTTTCATCGGACGGCCATAAATCTTCCGTCGTGTTCACACGTGTCGTAAATCCTTCACTGACTCCACGGAACATTGAAGAGTCGAGTATAAATTTCTTTTTTTATATATAACATTTTTTGTAACAAAGATTCTCTTACATTGTAGTCAGTGGCGGATCTAGGAAAATTGTTTGATGGGGTCAAACTAATTTTTGGGTTCAAACTTATAATTGAGTTGGGTTCAAAGTTACAGTTGGACTGAAATATATTTAAAAACTTAATGTAAATTAGAACGATTTTTAAAACTTAATTGGTGTCAATTGCACCCATAACACTCAACTTGCCTCCGCCCCTGTTGTAGTAGCTACCAAAGTCGTACGATCACAAGTACATTTACATTAAACATACGTCTCCATCTATATATAATGTTTCACCTTTTATTCTATAAGTAGGCCTTAGTAGTTTATGGGCCACGATCAGGCCCAATATGAATAGCCACTTCTTGCTCTAGCTCAATACCATCTAGTGAATCTTGAAGAGGCTCAACATGAACAACCGTTTCTTGTTCTAGCTCAATATCAGCTAATGGACCTTGATGAGGTGCAATACAGTCTTGTGACTCTTGATTTAGGCCAATATCATCTTGAAGGCTTTGATCTTTTCCATATGATGGGTCATTAAGAGGCCCGCTACAGTCTTGTGACTCTTGATCCGGTCCAAGAACCCGATAGGCTTCTTGTGGGACGAGTTCGAGTCCCGCTGCGAAAAGCGGGAGCAAGACTAGATAATGTTTATGAGAAACGTAAGAGATTGTGGAACCGATTACGTGGACAATGCATAACATGAGTAGATACGCGTTTAATGTGTGCCAATAGAGCCTTTCGTCCTTTGTGTAGAGCCAAAACACTCGACCGCATCGCCGTATTTTCACTTCTTCCTCGATCAGATTTTGGATTAGGTCAAGCAAAGTGAAGATTAATGTGTCGCAAGCGCATACAATACCGAATATTTTGGGTAGATCTTTCTCCTTGTCGAGTAATTCTAAGACGAAGCAAAGGAACTCAACGAGGAATGCAATAGCAGAATGTGGTCGAAGACTTTGCCTAAAAACAACGAGTTTTATGACCGGAGTTAGGATCGCCATTTTCAAATTTATGAAGTGTTTAAAAAGCTCAAAATATACTATGGTATGAGGAGTTTTGAGAGAAGAACTTCGTACGTGGTGCTTTTTATAATGACATGAACATGAAGAGATGATTAATGAATGGTATATTAGGGAGAGAAAAAGTCAAAAGTTAAGCTTGGAAAGTTCAGTGCTAATCATAAAGATCTTCACTTTTCATTGCATAGGGAATCAAAGAAACGTTTAAGTAAATTTTGTGTTTGAGATCACTGCAAGTAAACTCTAGGTATTAGATCAAATCTCTAATCAGTTTAAGTGTAAGATACAATTAATCCCAGCTGTTTGATGATTTACGACGTACATGATTTCGGCATGTTAATTTTCTTTTTGAAAAAGTTGTCCTAGCTAATTAAATCCTAACCATATTAAGTTATTCACTCCTACAAAAATTATTGGAGCTAAAAAGAGCGAAAATGCTAAGGCTGTGTTACATTTTACTTAAATCATACGTTATTATTTTATGAGCACATATTTTACTTAAATTATTTTTGTTGGTAAAAAAGAATAATTTTTATGAGCACCTTTTCTACTTCATATAAAAATTCATTCAAAAGTGTCTTTTATTGTAGAACTAGCACACTTCTACATGATTTTCCCATAAAAACATTTGTTGTTTTGCTTCATTTGTACTTCTTTTGAACTACAAATGAATATAAAAACAAATACTGTAAATATAAAAAATAAATTCAATTAAAAGAAAAGTTAAAAGAAAAAATGAAAAATACTTGGGTTCACCCCCTTTATTTCAGCCAATCAGAATCTGTCATCTAATAATAATAAAAAAAATTATTTAATTATAAAATCTAATTTGCCACTAAAACGAAATTATGTACCGGTTTGGGTTTATTAGAAAGGGTTAGGGTTTAGATTTTATGATTAAACGAGGTTAAATATGAGTTTGGGTTTATCGGGTTCAGATTTTACAATTGAACGAGGTTAAATGTTGGTTTGGGTTTAGAAAGTACGAATGTACGATTAGGGTTTAAATTTTTTTACGATTAAATGAGTTTAAATGTCGGTTGGGGTTTACAAAGGAGAATTAGGGTTTAGATTTTGTAATTAAACGAGATTATACAATCGGTTTGGGTTTATAAAAGAGTGGTTAGGGATTAGATTTAATAATTAAATGAGTTTAATTTTTTTTTATTTTGTGGCGAATTTAAAACAACAACTTGGTTCAAATTAAAATCGTACTTGTCTAAAGTCTTCTCGATTGTTCTTTTATTGTTTTTTTGTTATTGGATTTAATGGGCTTTATATGTTGTATTGTTACTAACGTTGGGCTTTATAGTTTTAGTTTATATGTTGTACGTTGGTTGCTGGGCTTTATAGTTTATATGTTGTAATACAAAACGGAGCGAGTAACGGACGAGTAACAGGGCGAGTAATGGGCGAGTAACGGGGCAAGTAACGAGGCAAGTATAAAAAAAATGATATTTGATACTTGACCCTTACTTGCAAGTAATATAATTTATCTACTTGTTACTCGACTTGAATATAGCGGGTACTTGAACTTTCAAGGCGAGTACGAACCGAGTAGCGGGTACAAGGCGGGTAACGAGTATTTATGCCCAGACCTTTATAAACTCTAATATAATACACTCTTTCATCAAATCTAAAACGTTAGAAAATCTATATATATAATAGGAGAGTCATCTCTCCATATAGGATATCCACATCATCATCCACATAAGCATGCATTTAATTAAAAATTAAAAATTATAATTTATTTAAAATGTTTATTCAATACATATTTATTTTTATTTATAATTATTTATGATTAAAAATATTTAAATTAAATACAAATAAATTAATATTATAAGTAAAAACAAAGAAATACTCCTTCCGTTTCGTTTTAGTTGTCGTTTAAGGTTTTTGCACACAAATTAAGAAAATCATTAAATCTTTTGTTTTACCCTTTATTAATATATTTTATAATTTTTCATTGGTCAAAACATTAAAACATTAATGACAAAACATTAATTTTCACCAAACATTTGCATTGAAAACCTAAAACGACAACTATTATGAAACAAAATTTTAATCCTAAAACGACAACTAAACTGAAACGGAGGGAGTATAAATTTATACATAATAGTATAATATGAATTTTAGCGAGAAAATGTTTAAGATTAATCATATTTAAAAATTTATAAACATTTCCGTTTTAAAATTGATATATTAAAATCAATATGATGGATATTTCAGTTTTAAAATTGATATATTCAAAATCAAGATGATGGATATTTCGAAAATTGTATGAAAGTTGGAAGATCATACATTTATTAGCTTTCAAAAAAACAATATAGTAATGAATCATGAAATACTTAAAAATCAATATGTTGGGTAATTCTAAAATTGTATGAAAGTTGAAAAGACATACATTTTTAGTTTTCAAAAAACTATATAGTGAATTAGTGATGAATATTATGGCATATTACTAATTACAATAATAGTTGATTAGTTTGTAAATTGCAGTAAACAAAATGTTAAAATATAGCTAAATAGTATCTTGTATAATAATTTAAAACAAAACTAAAATATAATTATGTATACTTTTAATTTTTAGCTTACATAAATATAATATAAAATTTTATATAAGTAAATGTATAAACGCATTTGATAGTAATACAAACATTATGCACTTACTAAAATATAAATGTTTATTTTAAAAATATCAAAAATATTTAGAAAGAGCACAATTGCAATATTGAATTTAATAAGATAGAAACAAAAAAATAAAAATAAAAATAATAGAATATGAAAATATCGAAACTGAGTGACAAAATTAGCCTGGGAAAGCTAAATTCCTAAAGACAAAGCCAATATATAAAATGAGATATAAGTATATATATATATATATGTATATTCTTTTTTTGCTTCTAAATACAATAGATGTAAATTAGAAAAAATAAACCACATTTAAAATATCACATTTGAGTTTCTAGAATTATATAAAAAAAAATGTTATTCATAAGAATTCATGCACTAAAAGAGAATATATATAATGAACGGTCATAGGATACTAAGGCAAATACAAAAGAAAAAAAACGTTTAATATATGTAGCATATTATAACTAGACGTGTAAATCTATACAATTATCACTTATAACATTTATATTATATTTATATAACCGTTTTTTACCAATAGAATTACATATAGTTTTTAGGGAGACTCACAAAAATGCCCCTTTTTCAATACCCCTTTTCAAAAATGCCCCCTTTGGCTGTCCATTTTTAAAAATACCCTTTTTTATGTACAAAATGACTAAATTACCCTTCTTTTAATAAAATATATCACAAATATATAAGGAAATATAACAAAATTAGGTCCACAAAATACAAAATATTTTTTGGCGGGAAAAGTGATCCCGCAATTTTTCCCGCCAAAACACTTGTAAAAACTTATAAAAACCTTTAAAATACCTTGTAAAATTTTCCTGTAAAATTTTTTCCCGCCAAAAATTTTTTTTGCGGGAAAAGTGATTCCGCAATTTTTTTGGCGGGAAAATTTTTGGCGGGAAAAAATTACAAGGTATTTTAAAGGTTTTTTACAGGGTATTTATAAGGTTTTACAATGTATTTTAAAAGGTTTTACAACGTATTTATAAGGTATTTATAAGATATTATAAGATTTTACAAGCAATTTTATAAGGTTTTACAAGTTATAA